TAGGTATTTGTATATATATACATATATTTATATACATCTATTATATATGACGTCACTGTTTTAGAAATTATTGTTGCGGATGTGGAATACAGTAAATACATTTACCATTTTACAGTGGTGCTAATATGTAGTGTTCATGATGGCGTCAGACGGGTAAGGCTTATATTATACTAGCAGTGGACCTATTTTGTGAATTCGATAACCTCGATACAATTCCTATCGTTCAAGTAAGTCTATGAGGACCATAATAACTATCATCTCCTATTGAATTATAGCATATAATCACCTTGGTAACCATCGCCTCATATTGCAATATAGCATATAGTCGCGAATTGTAAGCGACCTACGAGTACTATGCAACCCTACGAGTCGTTTCTGATATACTCATGGCTTGCACTATGTCCACTAAACTACTCTCCAGGCATCTCGGTTTGCATATGAGAGGTTTCATTGGGAAACCACCGGCTCTTTAAATATAAAACCACGTATTCGTTTATGAATGCTTTCGAAGTCACAAACAATTTGGAATGGGTTTGGTATGTAATAGCTTCTCTACTTTATAATGTTAAATTGATGTATTGGCTAACGAGGTTATGAGTTGATCGTTTTCGATAGCTGTTTCACCACTTCAACCACAGGTAGAGAATTTTTTCCATCCCATACCGTTCGTGACTTACGAGGTAAGCTCCCACACGGTGTAACGAGGTATATAAAATCACTAGGCGTGACAGTATTGGCGACTATCGTTTTTTTACCGTGAACCAGCACACACGATACTGTGCAGAACGGCTTTGGACTAAGTCTAAGTGCCGAACGAAAGAGATGTTAGGTGTCTCTGAACAGGGACGGCTATGATAAACGCCTTCAGACGCTCGTGTCAAAGATGTGACTCCAAAGCAGAAGCAGCCCTCCTTGTGCATGTAGTCCTATACATCATTACAACATACACATTGATCGTCTCGCGGATATGCCAGACGTAACAGACGGTGCAATGCAACAGCGGCCCACCCCGGTAGGGCCCGTGATGATGGAGGTGGTAGACCGGCTAGTTAGTAATACCGAGACCATCGACCGCATCATGGGAGAGGAGACGGTGACCACAAGCTTATTTCATTTCGAATGCCAGACACCGGGCTTTACCACCGTCAAGGAGGTCGAGAAAACCGTGAATGTACCCGCCTTCCTGGCGTCGTTCAGGTTCGTTAAAGAATTGGAGATGGCTGAGTTTACCACACAACTTCGGCACAACATTGACTTGGGTGCATACGGCACCTGGGACCAGGTGCTTGCGTTGCACAACAAGCTGAAGGACGTCTTGCTGAGGATGATACAAAACCCTGATCTGGCCGCGCGTATAGCGGCGCCAGTGCTGGTGAACCTCAAGAACGTCGAGACGGTCTTGCAATCGGTGGAGACGAATCTGTACGACATCAGCGCGAAATCACGGCTTCACGAAGTGCAGGACGAGTGCGATCGGATCAACCAGCAGATGTTGGATCTCATTGTAGGGGTCGGAGGGTCGTACGAGCACCGCTACCACGACTCGGCGATACTGAAGTCACAGCCCTATCTGATTAGCTGCCTAGTGTCCCAGGGATGGTACCCCTGCCAAGACACCCGGCTGGCATACCGTGCGACCCGAGATGGCTTCGCGGCGTACGATATGTACGACAACTGTTTACATCTCAAGGACCGCTGTGCGATTGTTCTGTTCCGCGACGCCTACGACAATGTGATCGGCGGTAGTGTGAATGTGTGGTCTGTGCCCGATACCCAGGGCGCCGGAGTGTCCATCTTCACGCTGGCCAACAACGGCATCACGCCGCCCACTCGCTTCCACTTCAACTACATACGCTCTGGTACTAACAACGGGCACGTCACTCCACGCCTAGCCACGGTGGCGAGCAGAACGGCGGGGATTGCCTGGGGGCGCAACGATTTGAAGTACGACGGAGAGTTTGTGAGTGCGTCCAACTTTCCGGATACCTACATCGACACCACGGGCTTGGGCCCCAAAGTGTTTGGGGTCAGGACCAGTGTTATTCCTGAGGAGATTGAAGTCTACGAGTTGGTCACATACTAGTTGGCCATAGGTAGGTAGGTAGGGAGGGGTCGATTGCCTTTTGGTTTGGATCGCAAAGCGGATTAGCGGCGGTCTGGTATCGTCAGCTATAGGTCGCTTGCGATTTTGGTTCAGGTCAGCGGTTGTTTGAATTTACTTCCGTCAGTGGTCCAAATGGTGCATTTGATAGCCTTGCTGAGCTATACCTTTAACCCACATGAACGGCATAGACCGGCGGGATCCGGAGTGATCATACTGCTATTGGTGAGTCTCAGATCGGTTTATTAAAGTAATGTACACGTGTTCGTGTTTATTTTTGAAGGTCAATTCGACATGAGAAATACCGTCACTCGTCCGGTGTGGGTCCAAGTCCCACCATCCGTAACAGTCTACAACGATGCACGATTATTACAGAGCTCAACGACGACCGTTTCTGAGTACAATATATGCTTCTTGCCGAGAAGCCGTTCTGATACAGAAAGGACTTTACGTATATACAAAATTCGATAGAGGACCTAGACTTATGGCCGCGATTATGTTGCATTACATTGCTCTCGGTGAATACATAACACTCATGGTATGCAGTCGATGAAAAGAGGTTTGTCATGCTCAAAGGCGCTTACGGTCTGGATTATTTTTCACTATATTGATCCACAGCCAAAAAAAAATACTAGGCGCTTTATATTGGTAGGTGGGATCGGCAGCTTCCACTGCAAATGTTTCACCCTCAGTATACGAGTAGCAACGGAGGACTCATCATTAGACAACGATGAAGCCGTGAGCTTCTATGTGCTAGTGCCCCGCATGGCCTTTGCGCACATCAGATTAGCACGCCCCATAATAAGCCAATCGAGCATGCTTTATATCCCACTCCATATGTGTTTTAAATAGAACACAACCCATTTTAAACCAACCGAGCATGTTTTGTATCTCACTACACATGTGTACTATAGAACACAGACCATTATAAGCCAAACGAACATGCTTTGTGTCTCACTACATATGCGTGTCTTAAATAGAACACAGCCCATTATAAGCCAATCGAGCATGCTCTGTTTCTCACTCCATATGTATGTTACAAACAAAACACAACCCATTATAAGCCAATCGATCATGCTCTGTTTCTCACTACATATGTATGTTGTAAACAGAACACAACCCATTATAAGCCAATTGATCATGCTTTGTATCTCACCACATATGCGTGGTTTAAATAGATGTGGATGAAGCATATCTTGTCGTGATGACTACAATCTGTAGTAGTAAGAGCCCAGAATTGAGCTAGCTATTCTTCGGGCGTTTCTATTATTTTTTATTTATTGATATCACTATAAAACGGTTACAACGGGTAAACGGGCAGTACACTAGTCACAGACAACCTCCTCAGTGTATGCGAGCGAGAATGCTGATTCCGCCTACCATCGACGTAGCCATATACAAACCTTTCCCTTCACTCCCAAACGAACTCACACCACCCCCTCGCATGATTGCCTGGTACGTAGACACACCTACAACATCGGCGGTGCAGGTTGTTGGAATTACTTGACGGCTACTACGCCCAGCCCTCATATTCGAGTAGTAGATCTTGGCCCGTGCCCGTACCACTGTACAACCAAGTGTAGACCACAGCAACACACGCATGAAACAGAACTGCGTGCCGCGAGTACACCGACCCCACATCCACAGTCAAGCGACGTGTACAACGCAAGCCGTGCAGTGAAGTTGCACCCGCCGCCGGCGGTATTCAATACTGCAAGCAAGTCAATACTAATCTATGCTATGCTTTTTGTTTTCACAGCTAAATCTGAACATCTCCCGTCCCTTACATCTCTTCTGAGCGGATCACCACGCTCGCACCTGCTAATGCCTCAGTCACTCCAACGGGCACCTCAGTCTCCTATAAATTGGACCGATGAACAAAATATGCGCCACATACACAGACTTGGTAGTTTTTGTTTTTTTGGTTTTTCTTTCTTGAAAGCATCGTATTTTTCTCGTCTAAATACATATAAAAAGCTAAAGTTTATAAAAAGGGTATACACCAAAACATCCAACACATCATTCAGTCAGATACCACTCGTTTATTCACAGGACTGTCCTTGGCCTTCAGCGCCATCCGCACCTCATTTCCTGTCCCCCTTGTCCCTTCTCCGCTCACTCCCACGCTCGCCCCGGCCACTGCTCCGCTCACTCCGTCTATCGCTTCTATCTCCTTTATCACCACGTGTGTGTGAACTATCCCGTGTCAGCGTACTCTCCCTGGTACCTCTGCTGTCCTTGTTACTCGTGCCCCTGTCCCCTCTATCGCTCCTATCCCCTCGGTCACCCCTGTCACGCCTGTCTGAGCGCTCGCCTCTATCTGGTCTTTCGTTGCGATCGACCCTGTCGGTGCGATCTGGTCGGTCCTGCCGGTCCTGAAGAACGAATAGAGGACAAGGACGTGGAGTTGAGCATGGAATGGCACACATTTTGCTAAGAATCGCGTGCATACATGTGTGTGGGTGTAAAAATGTTTTGCCCACCACCCTATAATAGCTCTCTGCGACTCCAAACACCTACTAGATACTACAGCCTATATCCCTAACTCTGAACCCTATACCCTTAACCATGTGCGGCACACAAACCACGCTCTGAAACTCACACTTGCCCTCTATCTACTACAACGCACACCTGGTGTCTGTCGGTCCCTCCACTGCCGACCAAGACACACAACGCACTCCCAAACTCCATATACACGTCCCTAGCACTCCAGATACTACAACACAAACCACTCATACCACACACACATATCTCCAGCACTCGATCCTACACCACACACCACCCTTGTGTCTGTTGACACGATCGTTCCTATTGTCCTCACGTGCCCTATATCATCGGTCACTCCTCTATCTCGGCCCACTAAGACACGCACCACTACTGCACCCATAATTAAGACCCACTCACACGCATTCCCAACACTCTGCTCACGGCAACCCGACCCTACACTAACCAGTACATCCCATACCTCATGTCTGTCGGCACGCTTATCCTCCCGCCCCCTATTATACCGGTCACCTCTCTGTGGCCCGTCTCTATCATTCCTGGGTGGCATACCCTCCCTATCTCTGTACATGGGACTCCTTGAACGACTTCTTCCCCTGGAGTGTGACTGTGGACGTGTCCCCCTATCTCGCGTGCTATCCCCCGGTGCTTCGGGATCGTACTCGCCCGGGTTATTGTTACCATAGTGACCGTTTCCATGGTGACCCGGAGCGTTCGGTGTTGGCTGACGTGACCGGCGCCGGTCCGGTTGGAGCCCGTCGTTGTCGGGTGGTGGTCCATCTGGAAAGTGTGTGCGGAGAGTGTGCAAATGCAATGTATGAGCATCCACGTGCACACAATGTACATGTCGTGCAATTAGTAGATGCAAGTATACAACTACCTACACATTCCACTGTACATCACTATACAAACAAAATAAACCCCATATCGACCAAACTGAAACAAACATATATAGTATATCTATATATATATATATATGTGTGTGTGTGTGTGTGTGTGTGTGTGTGTGTGTGTGTGTGTGTGTA